ATGTGTGTGTCTTAGTACATTAAACAAGAAATGATCTACATCAACATCTCACACAAACAAATACAAACTTCACACGCTTCCATTCTGTGGGTGCCATAGTATATATCACTCGCATGCCCATCAAGTATACCTACAAACAAATGAACATGGAAAGATATCTACACAGCAGCCTCAACAAGTCAAACCAGATGACATTGGATACGAAGGCTTGATGGAATCATTTCCAATTCATCAGTTTGGGCCATGACTATTCACTTCACAGTCAGCAAACCCATAGTATCTAACTGGGGTGTGGAGATAAACTCTTACCTACATCTACCCAGCCCATATTAAGTAAACCATATATGGAGCATACCCACATACCTGCATCTACCAGAGCCATAGTAACGGCATTGATCATGCATGCGTAAAGACCTCCGTCGTCATGGACCACCTGGATAGAGTGTTAAAGTTTATGAGCCATAGCCGTGTGCTTACTTTGAAAACATTATATGCATGAATGCATATCTACACATATCTGGTTATCATGTATGTATATATACCTATATATGTATATGTATGTGTATATGTAAATGTATATGTATATGTATATGTATATTTACTGTATGTGTATATGTATATGTATGATGAATTGTAAGGACGAAATAGTAGTAATATATCTACACTAGACGCGGGATTGCAACTATGCACGTGTTGGTGTGTATGTGTATACCTGTGTGTCTGTGCATTGGTGCGTGTTTGCCTGTTCTTGTGTCAAACTTACGTATGTGGTACGAAGATCGACACAAAACACGCACATCCCCACGCACTAGACGGGCATGTGTTAACCATAACTATATCCCCGCTATATATCTATAATGTATATAACTAATGTCTATATCCCCGCTATATATCTATAATGTATACAACTAATGTCTATATCCTCGCTATATATCTAGAATGTATATAACAAATGTCTATATCCCCGCTATATATCTATAATGTATATAACTAATGTCTATATCCCCGCTATAGATCTATAATGTATATAACTAATGCATATATCCCCGCTCGCGCATCACTGTGGCTTTGTTGATATACATTGACAAAGAGGGGTTACAAGCCGTCAACACATCCGAGGCGGATCGACCCGGACTGGTTGTCAGTTATTAAACCAACGATTCTAGATACTTGGGTACGCCCATCCTACTACCGCGAGTGCAAGCACGCATGAGCCTATATTATACCATCTAACATAGATACAGCACAACGTTCACTAGACTCTGTGAGCAAGCACACATGAGCCTATATTATACCATCTAACATAGATACAGCACAAAGTTCACTAGACTATGTGAGCCGCAGCTACCACGCCGTGGAATACTATAGCGATCTTAGTTCAGCTCAGTGTTGTGGGTTTATTCCAGGGAATACGTACGCCTACGTGCAGCGTATCTAAACAGGAGCAGAACTATTGAGGCATGCTGGTGCCACGTTAATGTAAACGTGCGTGTACTTCACTTGAATGATAGCTAAGATAGACTGATAACTGTAAGGTTGTGAGGGTGAACACATGGCACAGACTGGTGATACCAACAACAGGTACGTATATTAAAAATTAAATACGGTATACAATTTTTCAGATAAGATACACAAATCATTATAAACGCATATGTATAAATTGGAAGCGAGAAGATATAAATTGAATACACGTGTCTACAACCATACACAAATAACACCAAAGCTTACATGACATACGTAACCATATA